ACCCAGTGATCAATCAATTGTGATTACATCTCAGTCCTACAGGAGGTTAGTCACAGCTCGGATAGCTCAGTGGTAAGCTGGGTGACACGAGATCGAATCCGCCAGGGAGCACCAGTTCCCTCAAGATTACAGGTACACCTTGCTGACGAGTGCCAAATAGCACGAAACCCGAGTCCAGGGTTTCCTATTGACTACCTCCAACCACCATCTAAATTACTTTGACAAGTTTTGCTGACTGTTCATGTCCAAAATCGGTTAGCTGGTTAACCGATTTCATTCATACTGCTGGTTGCTTTTCAGTGTTTTCAAGCGCCATTGTCATTGGGACATTGTAAGGCAAGTCGTCATTGCTAACATTAATGAGTTTGACTGTTGTGTAAGCGGAATGGGTCAAGTTTGGCCAGTTCGTGTTGTGCATAATTAATTCACGCGATCATTGATCGGAATAACTATACATGTAATGTGAATGTGTATATGAATGATGCGAATAGTCCACCAGGGTGCTTGGTACCTGTCTAGTTGCACCACGAGATTGAGCTGTGCTATTCAGATCGTAACGTTAAAGCCTATACGGTGTCTGGTTCTCCTATGAAGCAGGATTGAGTTGTACTGCTCGGATTATAAAGTTTAAGCCTGAACGGTGCCTGGTTCTCCTGGAAACGGAATTGAGCTGTACTGTTTGGGTTGTCACGTGAAAGTCTGGATGGTGTCTGGTTCTCCTGAAAGCCAATGTAAAATTACCCTGGCCCACAGGGGTATATTATATAATTATGATATTCATGCAGAGGTAGATAAATCCCCAAAATCAATAGCTTCGTAAGCCTTCAACATTTGAATCTGACCAAATTAGTTTTACTAGACTCACCTAGCTGAAGGTGCTCGGTCACGTATCTGCACCAGATCATGAGTGAGTACGCCGTGCTACACATCTCTTACAACTTCTAGCCAGTCTAGATTAATCCCTTTACAATATATCGATAGCTTATCAAACATATCTTTGAACTTCTTTGCTTCTGAATTTTGATATGACGGAGTTGGCATATTTCGATTATAAAAGGTGCTACTGGTTAAGGCGTTGTTAAACTCCGAGTACATGTGGCATCTTTATTCACTTAGCTAGATTTAACCATTCTTAGTAGTTTTGTTAACGTCAAACAGTCATACCCACATTTTGCTTAAGTCAACATCCATATGGTTTAGTCCAGAATAAAAAGCAAACTAAGTTTCAGACAACGTTAACAAAAAACACAACCTGAATTTGAACAAAAAATTAAAATAGTCAATCTCTTAAAGTCATTTGTAAAGCAAATTGATTTGGTAATTCAGTAGCTTAATCTTTCATGTCTACTTTAAGCGAAATAACCCAATGAGGATTCTCAATCCTGAGTAACGAAAATTTGTGTTTGAACATAAATGTGAGGTGACGTTTTTTATATCGAAATAAAAAGTATGAATATGTGTACGGTAATATTTTGTTACTGTGATTTAAATCCGTACCAAAGTTTTTTGTTGACCAAACCTACTCCGTTAAATACCAATACACGTCTGATCTTATGGTCATATATACTTCCGCGTGAATATCCCTTCACACTTGAAACATTATCGCTTCTGTGAATTGATGGTCTGTTGGCGACATTTGATGAAGAATAGTTCAGAAATAAGAGGTAATGCAAGAGATTTACGAAGAATCCCGAACATGGTAGTTTACAACACTGACTGGCTGTTGCAAGTTGTCGTTAATTACCCACAGTAAATCATTGATGGAATCACTTTTCAAAGGGTGAAAAAGCTGGGTGTCACCGATAATTTCGGAGTAGAATCGATGAACAATGAAACGTATCCAGAAGCAAGTGGTATTGTGAAGCCTACGTTTATAAGTATGGGTTTCTGAATTCTTTCTCACATAGGATTTTTAAAATTCACATTGGAAAAGTCAAATACTTGTGGGAATTCAATGTGATTCTCATTCAAATGATCACTCCTGTTGTATTTGTTTTGATAAATAGAACACGCCAGTTGACTAACTGAGAGGATGAAGAGTAACCTTTACCAGTTTTCGTTATTACATCGATGATCACAAATAAATTAAATATATTGGTTGTACATTACGTAATTTCCTTTCTGCACTCGTTCATAATCCGACTATGTAAATACTCAATTTAAATGTTTATCATTAAAGACGCATTCCAATGACAAATGTGAAATATTTAGGTCGAGTTTATGGTTATTTACTGGCAGTTACTTCAAAGTGATTGCTGATATTGCTGTTTTATTAAAAAACATATTTATTGTTTTTCTGATCACAACGAGTTTTTAGGATAAACAAGGTAATGAAGGTATCCAAACCGAGAATTGGCTTGTGAACTATGAGAGTGTCAAACATTCTGGGTACTGATGGAGAAGTTTCTTGAAATGTTTCCCTTTAAACTAAAAAGTGAGAGATTTCTAAGGCATAATAAAGTATGCATGATTGTAAAGCTTTTCCTAAATTAAACATTGATTCGATATTGACAACGATTGTATTATTCTCAATTAACACTACTAGCTGAACAGACTGAGTCAAGTAGTACATTATGGACTGTGAAAAAATCTCCTCCGAATTCATATAACCATCTCATCAGCCCTAAAATCTTCAAATACTACCTCCAAATCTACTTAATTACGCCTGTTACTCCTCGTAGTGAAGCACAGATTGCCCATCAGTATTGTTCATCCATTTCTGTCCTGAGCAATCCTTTCCAGTTGTTTTCAGTTGCTTTTCATCATTTTCATTTCCACCTCCAATTCTCAGCTTAGTGGAATCTTTGACCTTCCTTTATTCCGTTTCCTCCTAGGATTCCAACTAAGTGCTTGTCTTGTGATGTAGTTTGGTGATTTTCTCAATGTATTTTCTATCAACTTCCAATGTCTTTTATTTTCCAGCTGGCTTGTTCTTTGCCACATTAGACTGTTGCAGATGGTATTCGTGTGTATGGGATAGAAGGGCTAGGTGATCTGTGAAGTATAAATCGTCTAGTTGAATCCAAACTGTTCGTTGTGTTCCGTGATTCCTCTCAGATATGGAGGTTTCATAATCCAGTCAAACACCAGAAAAAAGAGAAAGGGGGAGTGAAAGCATCCTCGTCTGACACTGATCCACATTTAAAATGCATCTGTCACCTGTCCTCCTTGCGCAACTTTGCGGTGTTGTTTATTGTGTGTATTCCATATGACATTGACGGTCATAACAATTACATCATGGTGCCGAAGAAATTTGCATGGCGTTCTTCTATCCACAGTTTCAAATGCCTTCTCATAATCAATGAATTTGATATATAGTGACGAGTTCCACTCAGCTGATTGTTCAACGATGATGCGTAACGTAGCGATTTGTTTTGTACATAACCGATCCTTACGGAATCCTGTCTATTCGTTTTGAATTTGGACGTCTATGCCTGACTTTAGTGCTTTGGCCGGTATATTGTCAGATCCTGCTGCTTCCCCACACTTCATTTGTCTGATGGCCATCCTGATTTCTTCGATCGTCGGTGGAGTGACATCTATAGGAAGGTCTGTGTGTGCCGCCTCGATCTCCGATGGATCCAGTTGAGCTGGGAACCTGGGTATGACGGAAGGGTAATCCACGTCAAGGGCTAACGATGAGATGTGATTTTGAAGTCAGCTGGTTGGTCAAGCTCTTCCCATCCAACTCGATTAGGTCCCCAGTCATTCGACATAGATCATCTACGTTGGTGATCAACAGCTAATTGAGGACCATGTGTTCATTTACAAGCTTATTCAAGTTACTCCAACTACGAAAACTTTCCTAGCGGTCTCTACGATCGTTCAGCTAAGAAATAATTCCTCAGCAACTTTGAAATCTCACTAAGTTTATTTCTACGAACTTAAAAAAGTATCTGTAGCATTTTTTAAAATGAGAAATTGACTTACGTTTTTCAACATAATGAAATATTCTTCTTATGTTCGATGCCACTGAAATAATTTGATGTGTTTTATCTTAATAACTTCGATTGATCAAAAATAATATTTTCTGTCTCTAGATCATCAAAGTACCAGAGGAGGTATTTCACCTTTCCATAGCTGAACAATGTCTTGTGCAACTCAGCTGATCCTGAAATTCAAATCAGAAATAATTTTCATAAACCGACTATACTAAAGAATAAGAAAATTCATGATAGTGGTGAGAAAGAAATCTTATGAAAATAGGCTTCAATGCTCGTGGTTATTCTTTCTGAGTCGTAAGACGATAAGACGTAAAATGACAACGGCATACAACATACTAAGCAAGCCAAGCCACCCCAGCACATATATTATACCAGAACCTCACCAACACGGTCGACGAGTCGTTCCCAAAATTATCGGATATCAAACAGTACAGTCTCGGGTATACTTCTTTTCATTTTGATGACAGCTTCGATAATTTAGCATGCTGTCCTGGCAGAAAGGATTACAGCAACCTAAGGCTATTGCTTCACGATAATGATTGTTCACGGAACTTCATCTCCTGTTTAGAAAAGCTATCCCTAATGAATATCTTGTAATTTATTTACTTTCATCATGATCAGATATCATCATTTTAATCTTATCTCTTTAACCCTCAACTCCATCTACCTGTGGTTACACTTCGTGTTTCTCAAATCTTTGGCATAACTAATTGATTCACTTATTTGTTTCTTTAAACGATCAATTTCTCCTAGCTCTCCTACACTCCGATTTTTCATTTTTCTTTTTCAAACTATAGCCAATCAAACAATGCGTGGTGATGCAGTAGCTGATAATGCCAGGAACCATACTGTTGTGGAACAAACATAATACCCAAACACATAAATATCTACTAAAATGACTAGAAATATTCGAGTTGAGTGACTAAACACCTTTAACTGAGCATTAATGAAGACATTTAATCGTAGTGAAACACAAAAGAGCGAGCGCAAAGGAACTGATCGTTTTATACAAGCTAGTCACAAAGATGTTTGTTATTGAATTTTGAAATCACATAACCTTGGGGGACGCAAATTGTATATAGTTAGGCGTTACAGTGAGGAGATACCGTAAATTTGGTTTAAAATTGCTTTTAGTCTGTAATTAACTCCAAGTATAAAGTGCTTAAGTGTCTAAAGGCCGATTAAGTTGTGATGTTTGGCAAGTTTCGGCACTACATCCCCAAAACCTTGTTGATTTCTTCATGCTTTGGGGAAAACCCCAAAATAGGGAGATTGGGTACATTCCGAGGACCCAAGATAGTACGTCATTCTTCTTAACTGATATTTCTACTTTGCTTCTTATGTAGTGGGACTATGAGTTATGAAGGGACTCATGAGGTTAAAGTTAAAACTACTTGATTATTCGCACGAACCTCAATTCATCTGAATAGATAGCATTTTGGCATTATAGCTTATATCAGTTCGTGGTAAAAAACATGACTTGAATCGTTGGCTTTAAGCACAAACAGCTTGTTGTAATTCCTCACATTTATTTTTAAACTTTTCCTGGTTCTAGTAATTGGTTGAAGTCTTTCTAGTCCACCTAAATATCGCTTTAAAGTCTTCCATAAATTATAGTTTCACCACTTCTTTTATTCCATTCATAACCACTTGGATTTTTATCACTACTTTCAAGACATCCTGTTATGAGCTTGCAAATGTTATGACATTTGCAGAGCATTATAATGCTCTGTCGCTCTTGAATTTGAGTCTTTTGTCGGTGAAAGCTCCGACTAAACAAAATGTCTTTTGTGGCCACTTTCTCTGTATTACATTCTTATGTTAATATTTCAAGTTGAATCTAAACGACTTCCCTAAAGTTCTTATCGATTGTCATATCCTGGAGTCCACTTAAAGTTCCCGTTCACCCCTAGTTTTAATGCTTGTTGATAATGTAGTAGGTTTAAAACCAGGGCAAGCAGATAGAAACTTGTTATGAATTTATATAGTCACTGACTAGCTGTGTGAACCGTGCTGTTGTGCTCAGGCCTTTCTAGTTGAAGCCCATGTGTTATTCAGGATCCACGGTTGAAGGCGTTATGTGATATACCGCAAGATCAGTCGCAACGGTGCTTTGGCCTTCCTTATGATATGGATCTCGAGTCAATTTTGATTAGTTATTCGTCATTCTTAGATTTAATTTCATCTCTTAGTGCTGTATCTTCTAATTTTTGATACTCGTTCAAGGAGGTTCAGTTCTTTTACTCATCTTATCAGCTTCCTTTACAACTGGTCTGATGTGGTGTGTGGCGACTTAAACCTATACATATCTGTGGTTAGGCGTACGTTTACGCTAAGAAACGGACTAAATGAAATTTCTCGATCATCAACATTATTTTTCAGAACATACATCATCTATTAGCAGGTGAAATTTTATTTCATTCGTTTTTAAATCATACTTTATTTGTTCTGGGTAAACATTCTAATGCGTTCAACAACACGTTCACTCATTAGAATTTTTCATGGTGGCACAGGATCTATGACGTGTCCAGCGCCACTGTATCAATGGTATCCGAAAGTGAATGTTTCATTATTACATTGATCAATCTCGTTAGTAATCACCTTTTTTGTTCTTATCTCACTGGTTTACTTTTAGATCTATTCAAATTATGGCATATTCAAGTCGTGATGATAATTTAATAGTACCAAATTACGCATTAGATACAAGTCTAGCCACAAACAAATTACGTATTACTATACAAATTCATGGCTTAAAATCGTCAACTATATTAGAATTTCATAAAAAACTTATTCCCAAACTTTACAAAAAAGCATCAAATGGTGAAATAGTATTTCATCTAAGTAATGATGGTTTTCTGTTTGAATTTCATGGGCTTGATACTTTAAAAGACTGTAATTATCGACTTCATGTTAACAAATTACCGGGCACACTAGATAATAAACGGTCACAATTGATTGTACGTGAAGATGCTGTGGAAATCATTCTCATAAAAATTGATGATAGTTCATGGTCCTCTGTTATAAGTGAAGGTTTACATATTATTGAGAATGAGAAGAAATAATCTTTTTTATGTGATAATAAGTTCTTTTTTTTCGAAGACATTCCAGCTAATAATAAATACTGCTTTCAATTTGCCTACTTTTCCTACCAGGTTTTAGGTAAATGTAAATAATTTATTTGATTTTCGGTTTGTATCTTCAGTTTATGACTTCATTTACTAGTTTATATTTATTCAAATTTTATTTTAATTCCTCGATAAATAGCTTATGTCTTGTTTATTACCAGTGAAATGCTGTTTTCTTAATTAATGTACACTAAAAACATTTTGTTGCATTTTGACAATAGACTCATGTAAAAAGAAATTTTTTTTCCTTATTTCGGTTTCTTTGATCTACTATAAGTGGAGTTGAATTTACTGTGACATATTTTGACTGGCATTTTCTTTTTATATAAAGATTAATCTTAATATAAATTTACTGTTTAAATGATCAACCAGTAAAATTATTTCTTCCAATTTACCTAGTCTAAAATAGTAGACAATATCATTTACTCTTATACATTGAAAATTGCCATTTGAAATTATAATGACAAGATTGCTACATTTTGTGTCCTATGTACTTATAGGTGTATATTAGCTTCACTGAAACTAGTTGTATTAGTCCAACCATTTGGCAATCTTATCACCGAGTTATTAATCATGACTATTTGGAAAGTAGATAAGGAAAATATACAATTTTGTAAATCTGCATTTGGTCGAAGGTATTTGTCAAAATCAGCAGTAAGACATAGTAATAATATATTTCGAAAATAATAATAACATTTAAAAAACGAGGGTAGATTATATGAGATGTGATTGATAAATTGTTTTGACAGTAAATATTTCATAAATATATTAATGATGTCAGGTGTGAGGTGCAAGCTACATGCATAATCTTAGAGTTCATCAATTATTTTCTGAATACATACCTTGAAAGGCATAAGCATTGTAAACAGTGTTGTCCGAAATAGATAACATATGAAGAACATAAATAAGCTGAGTAAGTACCATAACTACATTGTCACGAGCGTTTTGAAATGATAGATGTTACGTTTACGCCAAGAAAGATACACTAAACAGTTTCTTCTCCAGTGTTACAGTTCGGTTTTTCACAACATGCTTTTGTTCAGCACTAACTGGGGGCCATTGTTACTGTGTTTAGATATGTAGTGGGTTGTAAGATCATAAAACACCTTAAATTTGTGGGGGAAAGGTGGGATTGTTGAATTAGATCTAATGAGGTTGCTGTGGTTTGACGTAACTTATGGACTGTACTAAGATTTGTGATTGATTTTCTGGCTATCAGTTGTTATATGCTACAACATATAGGAACCGGTGTTTCCGTAATAGAAAGACTGATACACCATGTTTCCAAAGAGGAGAAATAAACGGAATGAAATAGGCCCATTCCAGTCCAGTTAAAATTTACATGTAATCATTTAAAACCAGAAAAGAACGCGAAACAACAATCATTCTCTATTTCATGGTGTGATGCAGTCTGATCTGCTTGTACATAAGGTACGTCTGTATAAAATGTAATAACGATCTTAGACTGGTGGTCATTGGTCTTGTGTTCCGTCTTTTTGTTCGGCGCTAGTTAGTATTGGGCCTACATTCAATCAAAGAGTATCAGTCTTCTTTTCCTAGTGGAATAGAAATATATTTATAAAACGTTTCTATAAACTAACTCAAAATTTCAAGAAAATTGTCTGCTCTTTAAATGCAATTAAAACAGACGTAATTCATTCAGTTCTTGTAAAATGTATCACCTTGTTTTAACTTCTGTGGATTGAATCGAGAATTCTGTCTGCCAGAAATTAAGATAAAATTCCTCAATAAGATATTTTAACGCAATTTTCTATTCAGTTCTCTAAATGTTTAGAGGCTTATTTACTTTAGATAAATCTCATCTCTTATGCAAGGTTAGTGACTAATAGTAGGATCCAAGACACAAGGTTTGCCCTATCTGTTATTCGCCATCTTAACTTCTATCCCAGTGTTGATGTTTACAATGGAACTCAAGCCCAGTGGCTTCTGCTTCAAACTCTCTAGGCGTTATTTACGTAATCAATATCAAGTCAGTCATCTCAGAAGGTATTGACTAATTGTGGTCCATAACATTAACTACAGAGGATTCAAACCTTTACAAATGGATGAGGAAATTTCCGTTTATTAACCTTCAAAAACAAGAAGTGCTTGAAATACTATGTTTTGATTGTGATATATACTCGTTTTGTCTAACTATCTTGGTCTACAGTTCGATCTCGTTACAATAAAACTTTCCAACTGACTTATCAGATTAACTGCGGAAATAAAAAAACTGAAATGAGTAGAAAGGTTTAATTGTCAAAGCTTAACAACTGATGTATAAATTGTTTTAATCCTTACTGACTCAGACAACGATGTGTAGACTAGGACCATAGTCATATACTCAACTCACCTACTCCAATAGTACATCTCGTTTTCACTTCTCACTTACCATTTGGGTTTGAGACAGCACACGATGTATCTAGGACTTCCCGGTTTATCACTAATTAGTTTCTCTAAAATGTTAATAATAAGCTTATTAAATGGTTATCCTGTGAAAATATTCGACCATTTTGCAATCCAAACCCAATATTTCCTAATCTTAGTGTCGGATAGGATTGACTACCTTTTAAAGCCAGTTGCTCGATATAATAAACGTAACCTGAGACCAGCGCTACTTGTCGACTGCCTAACACCACCCAGCTAATAATGATTAATGATTTTGACTCTGTTCACTCAGTCATAATCAATGTAGGAAATATAGTCAATAAATAGTATGATTCAAGAAGGAATCAAAAGTATAAGATAATTATAAGACACAATAACTAGGGGAATACAAAGATCGAACATCATTGAGACAGATTCTGAACCCCTTTTTGAACTGCTGGTTATAATCAACTACACAGACTACTACACTGTTCAGGCCAACATTAAACAACTTCAGCGATTGGTACCACATCTTAGTTAGACCATCCACCCTTAGTTAATGCAACTTGTAAATTGAATATAGTAGTTACCACTTATTATTAATTGAGATCTTGAACCGATTGGTGTTAGACCACCATTGAAAACCTGGAAGCACTGGACGGCTGTTCCATCCTGTTGTGGGACTCCTCAGCAGTGCGCACCCACGACCCCGCTCGCTGGATTCGAACCCAGCGCCTTCAGCCCCGCGCACGAACGATTAACATACTTTACCACTGACCCGGCACCCAACGGTGTTAATGTCTAACCTCAACCAACCCACTTAATTGCGCCACCATCTTCCACTATACTGAGGTAGATACTTGTCTCTACGCGACACCGAATAACTCCACTGGTCACAGTTTATTATTAAACATTTAATTATTGATTACGTGTATTCATTTTACAAATTAATTAAAATAGACAAATTATGTCTGTTGAATTATAGCAACAAAAACAAAACAATGAGTATAATCTATAAATCCGGTGTTCATCTTGTTGTGCTAATGAGATATGTCAACTTGAACCGATGCTTATATGTGCCTGGTCCTACGTTGTAGTTGACTGACTGTGAAGCAAAATTAATAAGAATGGAATTTAATATTTTAAAAGTAACATAATTGTAAACTATTTTGGTTTTTAATAATAAAGGTTATTTTATTCTTATCTATTGTTATAATTCTTGGTTTTACTTCGTCTATATGTATGGAATATTAAGTTACCTTAAACAAATATCTACATTAAATTCCCTCCCAGTGTCTATTCTACAAGACTTCAACACAAATCAGATGATCACGAACATATGATTAGCCTGACTAAAATGTAAATATATATTTCCACACTGGAAACCGACAATTATCCGACACAATCCAACAACAATCGCAGTAATAATAACTCACCTAAAACCTGTCGGACTATCTGTATATCTAACTAAGCAGACAACCAATCATTATCATTCACATCCACACATCATCTATCATAATGTATTATTCAATATGGGTATATTATCAAGTAGCTAAATTCATCTAAGTTAATGAATTGATGTTAAATTAGTCATTGAATTACATTGTTTCTATTTTACACTAATAATATGTTAAAATAGAATTTGAAATATATGTGTATAAATATAGAGAAACCTTTCAACGGATTCTTTTGTGACTAACTTTTATATATATATATATATATATATATATATATATATATATATATATATCCGGGCTTGTCTGTCCGGAATGTTTATGCCTTAGTAACTAGTTGTAACTATGCCTTAATAATAGTTTGATTGTCATTTCATTCATCAATTTAATCAATGCTTTTTAATGTTCTACCAATCTTTACGACATATTATTGATCATAAAGTTGCACTTGAAATTTTCAAACCTTTTATTGGTCAAAAATCTTTTATTTTTGCCGTAGTTACCTTGATATTATTGCTATTTTTCAGCCAACATAACTATATTCTTGCAACATTTGGCAGGACATGTATATTTGTTATGAATTAATAAAATAAAGGTTACAAACTGTGTTTGTAAACAGGCTCATTTATCAGTTTTACATTTTAATGTATATATACATAGACATTGGTTAAATGTAGTGTAGTCCAACATTTTAAAGAATCCCAGATACCCAAAAGAATAAAGTTCGGGAAGGAAGGAAGTCGTGTTTTAAGAAAAAAAGAAACTTTTAATGTTGATGTGAGCTACAATACACTTACTAAACAAAATATTCAGTATTTACAATGTTTATTTTCTCAAATCATGTATTCAACCAATTGATTAACAGTAATCTGTTCTGAGAAAGATTGTAGCTTGTATAAATCAAACTAACAGAGTTTTATTAACTCCAAAGTAATAAATATGACTCAGGTTTAAACTCAGTATTGAGAATTACGAAATTTCTAATGTTTATAATTGTTCAATCAATCACATTAAATAACTCTTGTTAACATTTTAATGGAGGATAGTTTTCTATTGCATTAATCCAAATCTTTCATATTGAAAATTAAACAGATACATACACGTTGACTACTAATTTTTAATTAAGTAGCTCAATAGATATTCGTAATATTTATAAGAAGCTGATTATAATCTCATACATCATGATTTAAAAGAAATATTTCCATAAACAAATTACAATACAAAGGCAATAATAAGCAAGGGAAAACATGTACGTTTTCTGTTAACTACCTCCAATCACCATCTTATCTCAACTTAGTGCACTCAATGTCGAGTCATCTAGACTAGTGGCCACATTCCAACTTGGTCGATAGTAATCGACCTGCACTAAGAGGGACTTGACACACATGACATTGATCACCACCCAGTGATCAGTCAGTCAATCGTGATTACATCTCAGTCCTACAGGAGGTCTGTCGGGGCTCAGATAACCAAGTGGTACCGTCTCTGATTGTGAAGCTGGGTGACACGGGATCGAA